CTCGCCTCCCTGCTGTATGGACGGAACACACCCTTTAGCTCCTAATCTCCTCACTAGATTTCCTCCCTTCCCGCCCCACTCAAGGGTCGCCATTCAGGGCGCTACTCAAATCTGACATCAGCTATCCCAGCTTCTAGAGTCTGCATCTAAAAATAATGCTTGTATCTTTACCTATCCAATCTTCTTTTTGTCCTGTCTCCGAAAAAGTTGAGATTCTGACTTTTATTTATTTATTTTTTAAGATTTTATTTATTTGAGAGAGAGGGAGAGGGAGAGAATACGAGAGGGGGGAGGATCAGAGGGAGAAGCAGGCTCCCCGCTGAGCGGGAGCCTGACGTGGGACTCGATCCCAGGACTCTGGGATCCTGACCTGACCCGAAGGCAGATGCTTAACCGACTGAGCCACCCAGGCGCCCTGAGATTCTTACTTTTAAAATGCTAACTCATCGATAAGTACCTCAGATATTTATCTAATATATGTGTGCCTGTATCTTCCCTGCCAGATTATACATTCCTTGAAGGAAACCAGTATGTTGGGTGTTCCCCACAGGACATTTTTTTAAAAAACTAGGCTCCACACCCAGCATGGAGCCCAATGTGGGGACTCGAACTCACAACCCTGAGATCAAGACCTGAGCTGAGATCAAGAGTCAGACACTTAACCAGCTGAACCACCCAGGCACAACCCCACAGAACATCTTTAAGCACATTATCAATCAGTATTTGCTAGGAACATTAATCCTGTAAGGAAAACAGACCCCACTAATTATTACTTCTCCTTCTTCTCCTGTTTTGAATCTCTCCACTCCTGGTGGTACCTTATCCTTTAAAATCCACTGTCTCCCATCCTGAAAAGAAGCAGCTTTTTTTTCCCCCGTATTTTCTCACACCCTCAAACAAGAATTCAATATTTTTTCCTTGCTCCCTTAAGGAAACTTCCAGGACTGCATGAACTTTCTTATCACCCACTCACTCTTTAAGCCTTACACTTACGTTTTTGTCCCGATGACCAATTTTTCCTTCTGAGCTCCTTTTCTTCCTCTGGCCTCAAATGAGGAACACTTGAGGTGTTCCTCAAGCTTCCATTCTTGGCTCCCCTCTTTGCTTTTCTACAAGGACTCCCTCCTTGGCCGTCTCGTCCACTCCTGAGGCTTCAGCTGTAACCTCCTGATGCGAGAGTCCTAAACCAAGACCTAGAGCTGCGTTTTCTATTGCCACAAATCTCACATGCCCCAACCTCTACAAACCTCGATCTCCTGTTTCACAGCCCACAGACAAACAGAAGTTAATCCCGGCAACACATGAATCCTATCTTCTTCCTGAATTCTTTATTTATATTTTTGGTAGGACCAGGTCCCAGTTACAGGCTTAAAATTTACCCTCATCTTCTCTGCAGCCCCCTGGGGCTCCCAGATATGGTCATTGGTCCAGCACTCACAACGCCCAATACCTTCCATCCACCCGTGTCTGGCATTCAAGGCCCTAGGGCCCAGGCTCCAGCTTATCCCTCAGCCTTATCACCTAGGACCTCCTAATACTTCAACTCCAGGCAAAGTATTTGTCAGTGGCTCTCTCCTCAGAGCGTTGACAGGTACCGCTGCTGGTAGCAGGGATGCTCTCGTCCTGCCCTTGACACACATCCCAGCACCATTTCCGTGTCAGAGACGGTAATACCACACAACCGTTCAAAGTGATGGCACGGCCATGTCACAAACTGAATAAAGTTTGTGAGATAACATTACATAACAGAAGGAAGATATATTTACAAACAGTTTTTATAATTATTCATATGAAAAAAAAATGTATGAGGGAATACATCCAAATGACAAAAAACAGTAATATTAGAGTAGTGGAATTGTGAATGAGGTTTTTCATTTTCCTAGATTCTAAATTTTACCTAGTGTGGTTTTTAAAATACATTTTTACTTTAGGGGCGCCTGGGTGGCTCAATCAGTTAAGCAGCCGACTCTTGATTTGAGCTCAGGTCACGATCTCAGGGTCGCGGGATCGAGCCCTGCATCAGGCTCCATGCTCAGCGGGGAGTCTGCTTGAGAGTCTCTCTCCCTCTCCCCCTCCCCCCACCTGCACGTACTCTCTCTAAAATAAATAAATCTTTAAATAAGATAAAATGAAATACCTTTTTATTTTAGAATAGTTTTAGACTTACAGATATCTTGAGAAGATGGTATAAAGAGTTCCTGGATACCCTACACCCCATTTCCTTTATTATCATTATTATTATTATTTTAAAGACTTTATTTCTTTGACAGAGCAAGAGAGCACAAGCAGGGGGAACAGGAGAGGGAGAGGAAGAGAGAGAAGCAGGCTCCCCGCTGAGCAGGGAGCCCGATGTGGGACTCAATCCCATGACCCTGGGATCATGACCTGAGCCGAAGGCCGATGCTTAACAACTGAGCCACCCAGGTGCCCCCATTTCCTTTATTGTTAACACCTTATGTTAGTATGATACTTTTGTCACAACTAAATGAGCCCAGTAGTTTCATGTAGTTTCTAAAACTTAAAAGATAAAGACTTTAGTTTGGTAAAACCAAATAAACAACATAAATCGAGGAAAATGTCATTCTTTCTATCACCTCTAACTCCGCGTTAGCAACCTGATCTTTATTATTTTTATTATTACTCCAGTTTCGTCTTGGCATGGATTGTTGGCTACAAACTGGGACCAATTTTGCTTTAGTCTCATTTGCCAGATGTTTGTGCATGCAGTTCACATAGTTGAAACTTCATTGTTGGCTAAAGGTTCTGGAAAGTGTTTTCTTGAACATAAAGTTCCAGACATTTTTTTTTTTTTTTTCCCTAAGTAGGCTCCATGCTGAGCATGGAGCCCAGCATGGGGATTGAACTCATGACCCTGAGCTCAAGAGCTGAGATCAAGAGTAAGATGCTTACCCAACTGAGCCACCCAGCCGCCCCAAGCTCCATGAATGTTTTTAAGCCCTGTGAACCATCCCCACACCTAGAATCTCACGTTGGATGCCCTGCTTCGCCGGCGAGTCCATAAGCTCTTTGGGGGTCTTCTCTCCTCCCTGCCCTACCCCCTGCTTTTTCTTCCATCCAAGAACACCCAGTCCAGATTTGGTCTCAGAACATACACTCAACAAACGCCACTTGTAATAAGTTGTAGACGCAGGACAGGCTCTACCAGACGGGCTATGGGTTTTAAGTTCCTAAAAGTAAAGGATTCTCTATGTAATTTGTCTGAGATGTCAGACTTCGACTTTGCACATGAGGACGCTGCAATGTTTTCCCTCTGCATCATCCAAAGTGGATTTTAGTTTTCAAGTAATAAAAAGCATTCACACACCAAATGTTACATATTCTGAAGAACATATCTTCAGCTTGCTTTTAATGTCGGAGCTCCAGAAAATGGACTATGGGTTTCGTTTTGTTTTGTTTTCTTAAACATGTCTCCCCTGGTGAGTTTTCTGTATTCTAACTGCCAAGTTGGTTTCAAAGAATCCTCTGGATATCTAGCAGTTAGAACAAATCCTATAGATTATGCAAAGAAATAACGAACTGAAGTAGCTAGGTACAGTCCTACTTTTCATAGGAATATGACAATTTCTTTTACAACAGAACTGGAAAAAAAATCTCAAATAGGTTTCTTCCCCTTTTATTCATTTACAGATCTATTTTTATCTTTTAGTCTTTACTTCAAATAGCCAGACCTATGACACTAAAATTAAACAGTTTCTGAACAGTGTCCTAATCTTAACTGGTTTTGGAAAATCCCTAAAAGCAAGCTAAACAAACAATGTAGCATTCTTGCATCTTCATGAGAGTCTATATCGTGTTACAAAACATGCGAAGAGCAAAACTTGGTTAAACAAATCGAGGAATGCAAGAAGAGAAAATTTCAGACTTTGGGGTTACTACAATTGTTTAAAATTAGTCGGTGCCCAAGTCAATCATTAGATCGTAATTCCACGGAAAATGCTAAGGATTACTAAAGAAGACTATGTATATTCACAACAGGTGACTGAAGAGCCCCAAACCAAAGTTAAAAGCAGCATCACTGACAACTTTCAAGAAAGCTGTGTACAATTAAAATTGACTGTTCTATCAACTACAGTATAATTTTGCCTTTTTTTTGCAAAAGTGATCTGACTATCCAAGAGTATCACTATTAATGATCTATGACAGACTGATGTTTGACAAGTAAGCCTAAACAGAACTTTCAATTTGTCTCACTAAAAAAATTACCTTGGCGTTATGGAACGGGCAGGACCAAACTAGCCCATCTTGAGGCAAGACATGCTTTTTGAGACATTTGACACTCTAAATATAGTTCAGCAGCTGTGAAGCGTTGTGCAATTCTGCTAATGAGCTTTGAGCGAGTAGAAAGAAGTGGGCTGGACAATACAAGAAGTAACGGAAGCACAAGGTGACCCAAGGAAGCTTCGGGAAGGATGTACCTCAAAAGGTGAACAATGGAATGACAGGCAATTCTCAGTTTTTTGGGGTACATTTTTGTCCTTTCTGAAGTTTAAAATAACAAACATTCTTTTATAATCAGAAAACAGTACCGGGATTTGCTTTTTGGGGAAAGACAAAAAAAAAAAAATAATAACGTGTTACTGAAAAAAGGAAAAGTTTTATAAAAACATTACAAAAATGTTATTAGACTATCCAGTTTTGTTGTGGCTTAAAAAAAGCTTCCCATTCACAGCAGACCAACTCCATCTGAAAGAAAGCAGGCTCCACTCTTTCATTCACCTACACTGATGGTCTGTGTTTAGCCTACAGACAAATATTTTTTTTTTTGAAAAACGGATTAAAGCTACCATAGTAACCGGGAGTAACAGACGTTGTGTGGATGTGCTCTATCTACCGGGCTGTCTAAAGATCATTTCCAGACTTATTTTATTACCTAAAAATCCTCTTCTTTCTTTTCAAAGCTCTGGAAGAGAATTTCTAAAAAAATTCTAGGAGGATTAGCAAGAGCCTAAGGGTGAAAATATAACTGAAAGGAGTCTTACCTGATGTTGCACATCAGAATCTGTTGGGCAGTTCAACGTAATGGGATCACATTCCTCAGCTGGGGGGTGGAAAAAGACACAAGCTTGATAAAGAACACGCTCTGCGGTGTAAGGCCTACCATTAGGATGCAATATTATGTGCTCCCGAGACATCTAGTAAAATCAGGAAGGCCTCAGGTCTCCTGCTCTCTCTGCATCCATGTGTAAGGCCCCTAAGCTACACCCCACTGCCTGGCAGGGCACCAGCCACAGTCCCCACTCACCCCTGAGTAAAGAGTCTCAGCTCCCTGCCAGTCCACAGAATTACTCAGATGAGCCAGTCACATCCTCCCTGCGGAACCAGGGTGCTCCATACTCTTGCCACGTTTACCACCTGCAGTCCCTGGTTGTTCACGCTGTTCCCGAGGGCAACCCTCTGTGACCCTGCATGGCTTGCAGGGTCCCCCTCCCCCAGGCCGTGAGGATAAGGGACGCATAAACTGCTGTCCCTCTCCTTTGTCCAGTATCAGGTATGTGTGGCCATCCGCCTAACCCCAGGGCAGGATCCGTCCCCCACCAGCCGGGTGAACAGGAGGTGGTCTGACAACTGGCCTCACAGACAGCATGGCCCACCCACCATGGAAGACATTCGGTCAGACTGAACCAGTGTCACTGGCCCAGTGAGGGCTGCCTGGGACAGAACTGCCAGTTGCCAGACATGCACGTCGGTGTTTGTCCTCTCTTCCCACCTAAAATGTCCTCGTCCCCAAGATGAAAACTGCTGTTCACTGTCTGTCCCCCCCCCGCCCCCCGTGTGACGTGTTGTCGGGTTCCACTGATGCTTGGCAGGCAAGCTTGGAGGATTCCAGCTCTAAGTGCCCTGACCGGTCCCTACTTAAGTCCCAGCTATGAAGGGCTGGGCTCGAGCTCTCCGGGGGCTGTGTCCAGCCTGGTGGCCATCACGGTACTTGGGGCAGGTGCACAAGGACTGCGATCGTACATGGCCAGGATGGCTGTGGGGATGGCCCTTTGGGAGGTCTGCAGAAAGCAATGAGATCATCAGCCCAGGGAGAGTGAAACATGGCTTCCTGCGTGTGGTTGCCTGGGCACAAAAGGCGACCTTGTCTGTCTCCTCTGCTGTCGCTGCCCTTGTGGCCGGCACACATGCTCTCCTGACCCCCGAGGGCATCAAGGTACACATCCACGGCAGCCCGTGGCCCGGGAACTGGGGGGAATGGGAAAGGAGTGTTTGGCACGTGGCTGTTGTGCCAATGCCACGCCCCCAAGCCCGTGCGCCCGGGCTTAGCGCAGCTGCTTACAGTGGCGTGCCAAAGGACCAATCCTGCGATCGTGGGCCTGATGGACCCTACGCGACCCATAAGCAGTAGGACCTTCCTGGAGGTGGACCCCCCAGGCAGATTGACTGGCCTTCCCTATGAGGTGGGCCATCAGCCTCCTCAGCCTGTCCCCACAAACCCCCCAGAGAGTCTGCACCGTGAATGATCAGAAAGTGAATGCTGAGGCTTTATGCAGATAGAAATAAAAATATTCCACAGGAATCCGCAGAGAAAGCATAAAAAACAAAGGAACGGCAGGGCCATAGCCAAAAGCCCAGTTTCAGCCCGTTGCCGCTGGGCCACTGGGCTACCTGTGCCTGATACAATGAAGATCCGGATCCTCAGTTACAGGGGAAACCCATGGTCCCCCTGCGGCATGGTGAGGGGTTAGTTAGTTCGAGCCTGACGCAAGCCTGGGGTCCTGAAACCACATGAAAGCAACCACTACCGTACGGCAGGCAGCCGTGGCAGGCCCCAACCCCCATATTACTGATCTGAGGCTCTGTGGAGGAGGAAATGTAGAAATACGAGCAGAGCAGAGGATTCCCCCACCTACCCAGAGTTGATCTGGTGACACAAAAAGAAAAGGGCAAGGGAAATGAAAGAAAGACAGAGGTCCAGAGTTTGACCCAATGGCAAATCCAACATTTACTACTATCATTTACACAGCCCACAGATGAAAGAGTGTGGATGGGTGGCTCACTTGGCTGCGCATCCAACTCTTGATTTCAGCCCAGGTTGTGATCTCGGGGTTGTGAGATCGAGCCCAGTGTCAGGCTCCACGCTGAGCGTGGAGTCTGCTTGAGATTCTCTCCCTCTGCCCCTCTCCCACTGCATGGGTGTACACACATTAAAAAAAAATAATAATAATAAAGTGCTGGATGCCTCTGTGCCTGATGACCTAAGTTCTGAATTAGCTTTAATATCTGCTAAAATGCATCAATTGGCAAAACCCTCATGGACTTAATCAGTACTGGGGCTCCAATTACAGTTACACCTGGAGATGCCACTAAAGGTCAACCCAGTGTCCCCCCCTCCCGTAATCTTAGGAGAGCTCCTGAATGTAAAATAGAGGACAGGCATGCCTCACCCTGACTGTTTTGCCTCAATACCCCATGGTCACGGCACCCATTGCCCTAGAGCATCCCACAGGGGGCATGGCTACTCTGACTCCATAAATTAATATTCAGTCTTTACAGTTAGAAGGTGACTTGACAAAATGAGACCCCATAGACCTCTTAGTTCAAATAACCAATATGGCCCAAGGTAAATTAAACAGGACCTTCAAAAATCAAAACTTATTATTTAAGACCTGATGAGTGAAAGGCTGATTATCTACTGCTTCTCCATTTAACAGTTGAATATGGCCTCTTCTTAAACACGGAAGAAAATGAATGGCACCTCAAAGTGCATTACTGCAACCTTAATGCAGTGGTCCCATCCTTTAAAGCCCCATACCTGATGCCCAGTATTATTGAAATTACTGACTCCATCCTATCAGCCACTAGTAAATATGTGGCTATTAGAGATTTGTCTAATATGTTCTGTCCGGTGTCTGCTTTAGCAGCCTCTCATTGTAGTGTGCCTTCATCTGCAAAGGCACCTATACAGGGTGACCAGGCTACCCACGGGGTACCTAACAACCTCGTCCTACCACACAGCATTTGCAGGCAAGATCTTAACTACACCCAACCTTCTCCAGGATCACAGGTATGACATTACATGGATGACATCCTCCTCTGAGGACATCCATTTGACAGAGTCATCCAAGCCATCAAAATATCCATAAAAGAGCTCACAGAAAGGGAATGGCACATTGCCCCCCAACACAGTGCACCGCCCTGCCAACTTGGTTAAATTCCTAAGACTCTTCCGGTAAACTAAGGGCTATTCCATCTCTGATGCTGCCAATAAAGAGTTATGGAGCCTCTCAGTCCCTGCAAGTTAAGACAAGTCCACCATCTTTTAGTTCTTTTGGAACTCTGGAGGCAACATATTCCCCCATTGACATACTTTACTTACGCTCATTGCTACAGTTACTTGCAAAGTGGTCCACCATAAATTTGGCTCCCTCCAACAAAAGTCTACAACAAGCATTCTCAGAGACCCCTTCATTGCCAGGGTTTCAACAACCTCTTCATATTCCTCTTGAAGTCCCCAGACCACCCATGATAGCCATAAGTTGTCCACATGCTTCTGATGCAAGAAACTGCCCTCCTAGGCCCTTCTCTCTCTATACCATTAGAACAGCGATTGCTGGCTACATGCCAAGCTCTTCTGGAAATAGAGGCTCTCACTGTGAGCCTCCGTGCCCTGCTGCCCGTTATGCCTTAGGTCACAGAAACAGAACCGCACAAGCTTGACATGGCTACTGAGGCCTTGCTACTAAGTGGAGCAAACCCCGGACCCTCTGGCATGTTCCACCCATGGGAGGGGGCATGCCCCACTACCCTCAGTCTCTTACCAGATGCCATGATGCTGGAAGAGGTTACTCTTCTGAGATGCCTGGGTTACCTGGGGTGGGCGGGGCAGGGCGGGGGGGGGGAGTCCCTTCAGAGCAACTGAGTGAATAGCAGTGGGAGTTTGCAGACACTAAAGATGAGATCACCACCAACATACACGATGGAGCTCATGGATAGTTGTGCTTTCCAGCCCATCCAGGATGTCCCTGATAACAAATGGGATTTAAGGGTGAGCACAATTGGCCAAACTTCAGGGTGTCATCTTAGTGCCGGCTGCCCTGGTCAACAAATGGTCCCGTCAGCAGCATCACTATTTTATTATTATTATTATTAATTTTTTTTTTTTTTTACAAACTCTTGAACCATTGCCTAAGACTTGCCCACTCTGGGGTAAAGAGCTCTGGGAATCTCTTGCCTCACAGATGAACAGAATATAAAGCAAAGTGACAGATGTCTTACCTAGAGTAAGACCACCATATAAGGCCTCGCGAGAACACTCTCTACCCCCTTGGAGCTCCAGACATTACTGGATAGGGACCAAGGTGTTCATTCCACTTCTCAAATACACAATGCCTGGCTCTGAAAGGAGCCACTCGATGCAACTTCCATCTACTCTACAGGCAACAGGTTCCATCGGAAGGTAGAATGGGCTCCTCCCAGAATTCCTGTTTTAGTTACAAAGTGCAAACAGAACCCCTGCCTGGTGTCACTCCTGCCAGAGGCATTGGTTATATCGATTCATGGCCTCTGGGGCCATGCCCTCACTGCCCCCATGCCACACCACATGGCCCATTCCCTCCTGGTCAAGTGCCTGTTTTGCTATTTAGGGAGGCCCTTCTCTACCCTGTAAGTCTCAATCATCACTAAGATTTAAGTTGATGTCAAGAGACCGCGGAGTCCACTGGGGTATAAGACCTAAGACTGAGACTCAATATTATGTGCTGTCTTGACAGCTGGTAAAATCAGGAGGACCTCGAACGGCCTCACACCGCACTCTGCTCCATGGATAAGGCCCCCCAGCTAAACCCAAGCCACAGCTGCCACATACCCCTGAGTGTTGGGTTTCAGTTCCCTGCCAGCCCACAGAATTACTCAGATGAGCCAATGACATCCTCCCCGGGGAACCAGGGTGCTCCATCCTCTTGCTACCCTTACCACCTGCAGTCCCTGGTTGTTCAGGCTTATCCTGAGGGCAACCCCATGTGACCCTACATGGCTTGCAGCGTCCCCCTCCCCCAGGCCATGAGGATCAGTGACTCATAAACTGCCGTCCATCTCCTCTGTCCAGTGCCAGGTATGTGTGGCCGTCCGCCTAACCCCAGGGCAGGATCCTTCCCTCACCAGCCGGGTGAGTAAGTGGCACGCCAAACACATTCCCCTCGGCTTAACCCTGCATCAGATTCCACTGTGCTCATTTGCTCGTCTGACATTTGACTAAGCCTGGCAGACAGCAGGCAGTGGGATTATACCTGTCTTCATAGCTCAGCCTCCTAAAAGTCCAAGCAAAGCCATGTCAGCTCTATTGTCAAAGTGGGGGTTGCCAGTGAAAGTCAAAGGAACCCGAAATGCATGTGCCACGTTGAACACCTTTTAAAAACTTGACTTGGGGAAGAAACCTCCATTCTTAGGTTGTTTGACCTAGGTGTTAACTTCACAGCTCCCTGGCTTGGAGTGAAGGTGGCCCAAATGTGTGAAAAATTGATTTTGGTTCCATCAGATTTGAATCTTTGTAGAATTCAATACTGCGGTCTACACTTGAAAGCTGAGAGACATATAGAACATTATGAAAGAAAGGTTCGTGCAAACTTTGAAAGTTATAAAGCTTTAAAGAAAGAATCATTTATCAGGGGTCAACAGTTAAGACCGAATGAGAGATTCGTTGATTCATCTCTTTCTTACATTCGTTAACATTCATTTACCTATTAAGTGCCAGGCTGCCAGATTTGTTCAAACAAGGGGCTACATTCATGGCCTCCTACTCGATTCCAACTAAAGGACATTTTTTCCCCTTAATAGTATTATCTGAGAAATTTAAACTAAAAGCATGGTTTTTCACTAAGATTCTACATGATATCTTTTGAAGCGAGAGCAGTAGAGATCTTGCCTTGGCCTGTGCTCAAGATACAGTGCCCAGCATTGTGGCATCCAAAGCACTGTGTGGTTAACAATGCAGATTCCCGGGCTCCACACCAGACTTCCGTCACTGGAATCTCGGAGCCCCCAGAAATCTGACAGCCAACGGGCATCCCACAGAATTCTGATGCACTACAGCAAAACGTAACAGACGTGTGATTTCAGTCACACTGATTCTCAGAAGGACTACTGTCATAACAGTTAACCCAGCATTTTTGTAAAAGCATGGTTTTTTTTTCTCCCCAATATGAGGATAACTTGAACTTATGTAGTTACTTTTGTGAAGCAGTATCCCAAACACTCCTATGGTCCTATCCCTCTCTCTCCTCTCTGCCCTCCTCCAAAGGAAAAAAAATTGTGCAGGATGGGGTTGCCTGAGCAGCTCAGTCGGTTAAGCGTCTGCCTTCGGCTCAGGTCATGATCTCAGGGTCCTGGGCTCGAGTCCCGCATCGGGCTCCCTGCTCAGTGGGGAGCCTGCTTTTCACTCTGCCCCAGCTCGTGCTCTCTCACTTTCTCATTTGCTCTCTCTCAAATAAATAAATAAAATCTTTCTAAAAAATGGTGCAGGATGGTCACCTTTGTATTCCAAACCGTATAATTTGGGGGAGGAGGGAGTTTATTGTTACAGGAGTCCCAGTCAAGGTTGAGTGGGAGGCAATGAACTTGGACCAGGACACAGCAAATCATGCAGGCAGGAGGGGTGTGTGGTTTCCTCTTAGAACAAGGAAGCCTATTAACAAAATGCTGTCAATCAATGAGGGGAGAGATCATATAAAATATAACATATTGGCTTGTGAGTTTTAGGGTAAACATTTTTACTTCTGAATGATTTTAGTGAATTCCTTCATATTTATTTTTCTCCTAACCTTTTCAAACTGAACCACTACTTCTACATGTAGTTAACAAATTGTTCTAAAAGGTCCCCCCCAAATCATCTATGTTTGACTTCCGATGCCTCAAATTTAGTAACTATAGAATTAGTCTACTTTACTTCTCTTTAACTTAAAATTCACCACAAATTTTTTTAAACAATAAAAGAGCAGGAACCATAGAGAAAAATATGATAAACTCTTGACTGATTTATGATGTACTTATGCGCAATAATTTCCCCTCACTGGGAACAGTGGCTCAAAAATCAGAATTTTTTTCCAAACACATTTTCTCTCAAATTGTGAAGAGTCACAGTCCCTTCAGAACACTTAAGCCAGCAGTTTCTACAAGATATCAGGAGCTCTCTGATACAAAATAAGCTTCACTCATGTCACAAACTGCATGATCTCATCCTTTTTAACAGTTGTGCAATATTCCACCACACACACACACACACACACACACACACACACACACACACACACACACACACCCCACCCCACCCCACATCTTCTCCATCCATTCATCTGTCAGCGGACACTTAGGTTGCTTCCTTCTCTTGGTTATTGCAAATAATGCAGCTATAAACACAAGAGTGCATATGTCTTTTCAAATAAGTGTTTTTGTTTTCTTTGGGTAAATACCCAGTAGTGGAATTACTGAATCATATGGTAATTCTATTTTCATTTTTTTTAAGGAACCTCCATACTGTTTTGCACTATGCCCGACCCCTGAAACTGATGTAACATTGTGTGTCAACTACACTCAAATAAAAAAAATAATAAAATAAGCCTCACTCTTAAATTAGTCCTGAGTTTAGTGCCTGCAGATTCTCATAGAACAGCTCTCAGAAAACAGTCCTAACAAAATGAACCCCCTGAAATCTCTAAAATCAGGGGAGGCAGAAGCTACACATTTGTTCTCAATAAGAAAACAAGTTTAACAACATGTTTCATCTCAAAAACATGCTGATCACTGGACTACATTAGTTTTCCACTGTTGATTTATGGTGAAAGCACATAATTCAGAACCACTCTAGTCTGGAAAACTAAACAGGAAAACTAATGTTTTGTTTCCCAAAACAGGAAATCACTTTCAAGGGTGTTAAAAAAGATCTTTAGACAGGGCAAGACATGACATTGCATTTCCAGAGTCACTGTAGCTCAGTCGTTGTCTCAAGCAATGCTGTTTTTGCCAAGGGGCTGGGAAAGCATCCTCAAGCCTGATTTTGCACATTTCCGTGGCCAGATTTCCCTCCACCATCTGATGCTTGCCTGTGTCAGGCACTGTCCTGGACTAATTTCAATGGATTCTCACTAGTGTTCTGGGAGGAGAACACTGTCCTTCCTGCACTAGGAGACAGGGAACTGAGACCCTGACACGTGGAACAACCATTCTGAGGACACTCAGAGTCCAGCTGGTGGTCTGGCTACAGTTTTGTTCTCTTGTCTATATGCCTCCCTGGTGGACACACCAAATCCTTGAAGCTTCTTAGGTTAAAGTGAGGTCTGCCTCCCAACCACTCAGGTATGCATTTATACACAGGTTCCTGGGCCTGGCCCCAGACCTACCACATCATGATTCCAGAGCAGCTGGGCCCAGAATCTGGATTTTAAACAGCTCCCCCCGCACCCCCACCCTCGATAATTCTTTACTGCACACTGAAGCCTAAGGAACACCACCTGAGACTGCCTCCCATCTGTCCCTGGTCGCCTGGCTTGCATCTTCTACCTCTTGGCTGAACTAGAGAATCGAATCACAGACTGGAGGATTCAGGACACTTAGAGTCGTTCACCAACAGGGGAAAGGAGGAAGGGAGCTTGCCAGAAGCCTCCCCGAGTACAGCCAGGATTTGGACTCAAACCTGGCCTTTAGTCTCTTTTCCCTACAACACTGCCACTCCCAGGGCATGCACAGGGGGCAAAAAGAATGAAACGCTAGCGGTGTAATTTCTGGGTGTAAGGAGAAGAGTCTGGCGAGTAAGGACTGGAGGGAGGGGAGCCTTGGCAGAACCCTGCACTTAACCTCAGGTGGACCCTGGGGGGGAGCTGCCTCCCCACCCTCCAGTCAGGTGACCCTAGGACTACCCTATCACAAGGACTGCCAGGAAAACCCACATTAGCGTGTGCTGGGAAGTCGTACCTCTCCAGGAACCTGGGGGCCCCTGCCATCTCTGAAGCTGATCAGATCGGATGGTCCCCCACACCGTCCGTCCACCCCTCCCTCTCTGGCTTATCAACAGAACACAGGGGAAATACTCCAGGAGGGCAACCAGAAAGCCTCCACAACAGACATGGCTCTGCAGACTGCCCCACAGAAGAAATTAAAAGAGGCTATGCCTAGCCATGTCTATGCCATGGCTAAAACATTAGTCCATGAATTACAAAAGATAGGTTTTTGGGGGGTTTTGGGTTTTTGTTTTGTTTTTGTTTTTTTGTGTTTTTTTTGCTTTTCGCTTTAGGGCCTGACAAGCATCCTTTGCCCCTCTGTCTAGTAACAGAAGCCTCTTTCCTGTGGTTTGCATGGAACTAACTCTGTGCCCTCCCCCACCCAACCTCAAGGGCACAGACCTGACCAATGTCCTCCATCCTCCTGATGGCAGTAACTGATTCACGGATGGCCACGTGACCCAAACTCCCCAAATGACTGTCATCCCTAGAACTGTGCTGTGGGCGCTGGGGGGGGGCACCATCTTGACGGGCACCGCATACAGCTGGAGGTATAGGTGACCATCTTTCCCACCATGAAGGGAAAGCCTGCCGCAAAATGGAGCCAACACAGATGAAAACAGAGCCAATGAGAGACACAGAGAGACTGAGCCTGAGAGCATCCTTCAAATGTCCAAAGACCCGAAGCCAGTATGTCTCCCCTCCCTTTTTAAAATGAGCTTGAGTTAGGTTTCTGTCACTTGCAACCCAGAGTCCTGGCTCTCTTCACTTTATGCAACTTAAAAACACCATAGGGATTTAATGTGTAATTTGTAATGAAATAATTTATAGACTTTAATAAGAAACTCCATGCCTGAGATGATCAACAAGTCAAAAGCTAAATTGTCAGCCTGTTTCTGTTTAACAACTTTAAGTAACAAGAGATGACTCTGACTAGTGCTTTGTTCAAGATCTTAAAATAATCACAAGTTCAAGTAGTTATATTAAGTGTACATACCTTTAGGGAGTCCCGTATCTTGAATGGGATATTTGTCTGACTGTGGAAACCAACAAAAGAAGAGAGTTATTTTTAAACCCCATAGCTCAGTTATAAGAGCAAAGTGAAAAGAAAGCTTTGTTTGGGGAAAGTCATGATTTTAGCTTAAAACCTTGCAAGTTTCTAGCCTTGGATTTATCAACAGGCCTGACCCATTGCTCACTTTTATCCTCGGCCTATAAAAATGAAATCAAGGTTGACAAGAAGTTAATGTTGGAACATGAGACAGAATAAGCCTTCTAAACTTCCTCAGCTCTGACGGCTAAACCACACTTCCTCTCTTTTCTGAGGTGCTACCCCTGCATCCCCTCCCCCCGTTTCCTGTAGTTGAAAACTGAGGAGCATTTGTTTTTGTGAATCATGGGGATAGACCCATTTCTCGTCCCCATTTCTGTGGCGTCCCTTTGGGTCAACAAGCCTGTGGACCAGGGAGTACTCACTCTTGTAGAGCTCTGTTCTGGGTTGACTATGACAGGATTCGAAAGCCAGCCAGCCTACCGACTGCACAAAGATCTACAAAGATCTACTCATCGTGTATAATTATGCACAGTTCCTCAGTGCACTGGATGGAGACAGTACCATGGGAGGGAATTCAAAATAGCAAAGGCTCTTGCAATTGCATATTTCTTTCTTGGTACCTCCAAGCAGGTATTCCGGAAACTTTTGACTTCCGATCAAACTTTGACTTCCATGAGAGGAGCGGGAATGTGCCCAGTCTCCCCATCCGGTCCCCTAACCCCTGCTCAGCTCCCACTCCCCATCTGGGCCTTCGCATCTACGCCCTCCAGCCTTAAAAAAAAAAAAAAAAAAAAAAAGGCTGCACCTTCCAAATTGCCTGTAGGTCTCACGCATGTCTTTCTCTGACAGAGGAGAAAAAGAAACAACTGTGGGACCAAGGATTTTGCTTTAAAACTCCTTCCCTGCAGTTTCTTCGGAGCTGAACAGTGAAGTTTCCAAACCTCTAGAAGCCTCGAACTCCTCTTCCACAGAAGAACACAATCAATCAATCATCAATCACGGAGAACTTAAGTCAAATTCTCCCTGAGACTAAATTCTTCTAGACAGTCTGTTCCCCAGAGCACGGAAAACACACCTGTACTATAACACTTCTCAGGCTGTTTTGTTTTGTTTTGTTTTGTTTGATTTTTAAAGATTTTATTGATTTGACAGAGAGAGACAGTGAGAGAGGGAACACAAGCAGGGGGAGCGGGAGAGGGAGAAGCAGGCTTCCCGCGGAGCAGGGAGCCCGATGCGGGGCTCGATCCCAGGACCCCGGGATCATGACCTGAGCCGAAGGCTGATGCCCAACGACTGAGCCACCCAGGCACCCCCAGGCTGTTTTTAAAGCACGGACTTGCCTATTTCCTCAGATAAACTCTGAGTTCTTCAAAAAAAGGAACTATGATCTTTGCAAACCCACACTTCAACTCAGTGCTAAATAAGCATCTACCAGAAGTCTACATGAAGGGCCCAACAGGCTGGAGCAAATGCAGGTTTCCTGGAAGGACTGACATTTGAGCTAGGCGTGGAGAATGCCCATGAACTCTGGTGACCAAGAGGAAGGAGCATGGTGGACACAGAGGAGCAAGTCCAGGTGGTGTGAAGGGTGACAGGTGTAGAAGCAGAGATGCACGCTGGAGAGGGGCAGGGATGGATAGGAAATGAGGGAGCCAGTTTACATGGAAGATTCTGGAAGCAAGGTGAAAAGATTTAGGTGGGTGCCATTCCGGGTTCTTGGAAGCTTGGGCCATCAAACTTTGCTTTGTGCCCAGCATTGAATATGGGAAGACATTCGATACAGTCTTGCAGGAACTCACACAAGCAAATAATTCCAGCACGGTGTGATAAAAAGTAGGGGTTGGGTTGTGGAGAAAGGAGCCCCCCAAGGCCCCAGGGTGAGGCAAAGAAAGCGTCACAGGGGAGGAAGCACAGGAGTTCCTTAGGTGAGGAAGCTGGGAGATTTTCCTCACTGGACAGAACAGCGTTAGCATCCCTGGAAGGTGAGAAGGCGTGGGGTGTTTCAGGAGCAGCAAACAGCTACACTCAACTGGCTCATCAGGAGGGATGCTGAGATGAGGTCATGGATGACCTCATCTGCCACGTTGAGTATAGGCTTCATCCCGGGAGCACCTGCAATGTCATGGGCTGACATGCGTCCTCCCAAAAAGATCTGTTAAAATCCTAACCCCTGGTCCCTGCAAATGTGACCTCATTTGGAAATAGGGTCACTACAGACTTAGAGAGAGGACTAGTGAAGATGAGATCATACTGGAGTAGACTGGAGCCTCGAGTCAACAGGACTGTTCTCCTTACAAGAGAAGAGACGCAGAAATGCAGACCCACGGGGAGAACCCGGCCACGTGCCAAGGCAGCGGGGGCACTGGAGGGATGCAGCTGAACGCTGAGAACCACCTGGGGTTACCGACCACCACACAGACCAGCAGAGATGAGAAAGGATCCTTCCCCATCGGTTTCGGAGGGAGGAGAAGGGCCCTGGCCTTTCCAACCTGCAGACGTGGCGGGGCACTTAGGTCACCCGCTGTGTGGTCCTTGGTTGTGGCAGCCCCAGCCAACTGACCCAGGGAGAGTTTGGGGGAAATCACCGTGCCCTGGCACGGAGAAGTGAGCAGGGGGAGGCCGTGACCCTAGGTGAGAGGGAAGGAGAACCTGATGTTGGCAAGAGAGTGGGAGTCTGAGAGCAGTGCAGGCTGGGTGCTGGGGAAGAGGACCGGAAGGACAAACGGAGTGCACCTTCTAGTGCCGAAGGTTCTCGTTCGGGGCTACAGCACGCGGAATGGTGAGCGATAGCCACAGGGCCGGCCACGTTCTGTCTTTCTGGAATGTAGGGACAGGGGGTGTTTCCATACTGACTTCCACCGTGCGTCCAGCTTCGTCCCCCACGCTGTCCCTTAGCAAAGTGTGCAGTGGGGACTCGAGACATAAGGACAAACACCTCAGGCCTTCAAGACCCTGAGGTGCCTCGTGAATCACCAAAGACTTCAGGATATTTCATGTTTCATTGAGTTATATTGTCTAATGATATTGTTGTATTTTATGTCATTCTAACTAAATTAGTTAATCAGAATTTTTCGTGGACTGGGCGGTTCCTCTCCTCCAAACACTTTTTTTTTTTTAAAGGAATATGTCACACCCTTATGTGCATAATAACACATGTGATGTTGCCAGAGGCATGGATCTGGTCACAAGCAAGAGGCGGTACCACATCGGAGAGCAGGGCTCCCGTGTGGGTGATTTTATACAAATCTGTTAACATTCATCGCTTCATCTGTAGAATGGGGTGGCTGTCCTACCATCTCAGTGATTACTTGGAGGATGAAGACGATGTATGTGAAATCCTTGGTAAACCTTCAGCAGCAGACACACCACAGACTGGTTTTGGGAGGGCAGGGCAGGGACCTGAAGCCAGCTACTGGGTCTGCATCCCGCCTGGGCTGCTTCCAAGGTGGGCCACTTACCCCAACCCCTGTGTCTCAGCTGTTCATCCGTGAAATGGGCAGAGCTTGCCTTATGGGGTTGTTGCAGTGTGGGCCCAGCTAGCCAATGGGTAGCCCCCAGTTAACTGTACAGTAGTCCTGTTATTTCCTTCATCTCACAGTAAATATTTTGCATTTTGAAGAAGAGGAAGTTAAAAGGAGCCAGATAAGTATTTAAAATGGACAAGTATACAAAGACCTGATATAATCTAAGAAGACCATAAGAACAGAATCTAATACCATTTTTAGCCCTGAGAAACCCAAAGTTTATTACATCACAGAGAACACTGTGATAAAGACATTTATCTTGGGAAAACCGTACTTCGAGGTTTCTGATCTTCGTGTAAATACTGAGCAATAGAAATGTAACAAAGGGAGAAAAGGATTAACAAGAGCTGTCACCACTGATGTAAAGATTATGACCTACCATGTTAAAGGATAAAGTGCTAGGGTCTGTGTCTTCCACCGGCTCCTTTGCCGTATGATCTGTAAAACAAAACAAAACAAAACAAAACAAAAACAAATGGGAGAGTATTTTCTTTAAGAGACGTGTCCTTTGAGAACTGTCTTCATAATGATGCAAGCTACCCTAGTCAGGCTTGAGAAGAACGTTATTTTCAACCATTTACTAGAAACGAAATAGGAAGGAACGGGGTCAGATGGCACCAAGAAAGAGATTAAGACAAGCTTTATTTAAAAAAAAAAAAAAAACAAAACACCATACTTTGAACAGTTTACCTGTAGAGATCTACAGACACTCGGAGTTATATATAACCCTGGATGATGCAAACATGGTACCCAGGACTCTTTGGTATAATTTGATTATAACTCTGAGCAGGGATGACATGATCCTGATTTCTCCTTCTCTCCATGTTTCCCACTCTTCTGTAATGCTTTTTAAAATCATTCAAAAATATTAAGCTTCTGGCTGTGGTTTAGGTAATTTAATAAAGTCAACAACCTCCCAGGATCATTATCTAACAAAAAGTGATTTCGACTTACCAAGATTTTGCTTATTTACCACGTGTTGCATTTAAGAAATTGAATGAGGAAAAACGGAAAAACGTATAGGCCTCGGTCGAGGCCACCACTAGATCTTAAGAAATTATCCAAAGCAGAAAAGAGCCCTCCCACTCCGAGACACTTGCCCAGACATCTGCCAGAAAACTATGTTAATAAAGAACCAAATCCATTTGAATGGGGCCCTCTAGATTTGTGCAGTGCACAACCTAAGAAACCCTAGGTGGAAGCCTTAAACCAGCCAAGAATTAAGTATACACTGTGGACCAGGTACCAGGCCCAGGACATGCCTTTGGGGATCAAAACGAGCATATCAGGATGATTTACTGATATATTAATTTGTGTTTGTTCTCCTTAGATGGCTCCCTTCTAGAATGTGTCTGGGCTTTTCACAGATCTTTGCCCGGCAGGTGTTGACAATGCCCAAAGGAGAGGCAGTGTGAAGGGAACATCTATCTGTTTGTTTTATGACAGCCTAGTCACTGGAGAGATTAGGGGCCCAGAGGAGTGGGGACGAATGGAGACAGCCCTCTGCTAGTGTCCTCCCATGGAGTGGGGGGTAGACATCTGCAGCCACATGAGTGGGACTGTGCCCCGGTCCCTGGCAGGGCCCAGAGGTAGCAAGGCCACATCACGGGATGCACAAAGGGGACTTCCCCGCCCTAGCAAAGAAACCCATGATTTTCTGCCTGGCACAGGTGCAGAGGGCTGCTGGATCTCAAGGGTCTTTTAAGGCTCAGACCCCAAGGCTTTGATGCCTACCAAGATGACACCCTAGTTCTCCTGGCACCACATCCTCTCGGATTCCTGTGTGATGCTAAGGAGGGGCCCAGGGCCCCCATTCGGACTAAAGATGGAATTTCCTGGCAGCCCAGTAGAATATAGACCTGGACATGGATTTAAATCCATGTAAAGAAATTAAGAGCCACTTGTGGTGCTAATTCCACTCCAAGTTCACAGGACTTCTGCGGCCCAAGTAATAGGCACTTAGACAGCAGAGCACTCAGTGTTGAGTAACGGAAGCGCAGAATGATATGGAAACAAGAGGAGGAGCCCGTGCCCAGCCTTGGGTGCGTGGTGGCGGAGGAGGAGCGGGACAGAAGAGCCTGCAGGGGTACTGACAGCTGAGCCTGGAAGGCTGCGCTGAAGTGAGCCAGGAGAAGGGGAGGGACAAGCATTGTAGGTAGAGGGAACAGCATGGGCAAAGGCCGAGAGATGAGAAACGACATGACATATTAGTGTACTCCAGATATGTCCAGCCAGACTCACCAAGTTTGGTTTTTGAGTTTTTCTTTTCCATCCTTCTCGTTCTGGTTCCTGGCTGGGGAGAGGGTGGTAGACGCCACCTCAAGTTCCTTCCTCCTGCCCCTCCTATCACAGCCTTGCCTCAACAATTCCATTTTCACTAGAGTGGAGCTGGAGATAATACTTAAAAACATGCCCCCCCCCCCATCAGGGGTGTGGTATGTATACTAGCAGGTACCAACGATGGAATTTCAGATCCACGGGCTGTGCAGGACCTGGGGAGCTGGGGTGTGTGTGCTGGGGGGCGGGGAGGTGGTTTCTAAACGACCCTCAAAAGGATCTGTGCAGATACCATCCACTGTATCTATAAGTTAGCTCTGTTTCCTACAGAAAAATTAGCATGAGAGGAAGGAAATGGAGGACATGGCTGGGAAAGGTAGAATTACACCAAAAGGGGCAGCGAGGATGCAGACAGCACAGTTACAGGGAAGGCAGACTGGGCTTGTGTGCAGAAGGCCTTGGCTCTCCCAGCCATGTCGCCGCTGAGCAGCGGTCCGGCCTTGAACAAGTCCAGGGGTGTGACCTTGGATGACCTAAGCGCTTGCTGCCTCAGGCTCCTTCCCCTGTAACCTGCAGTCAGGGGGCCCAGGAGATGGATGTTCTGGTCAGGCCGGGGGTGGGCACCCCATCCACTCCCCTCAGACCCTGACCCCGCTCTGGGTTGCACCTGAGTATGTCTCCGGAGGCTGGGAGGTGAACGGGAAGGGCCAGGCCGATGACAGCACCTGTCTGGAGGCCCAAAGTCTCTTGCTTTGGTCTGAAATCCCTGAGAATAGATGGAACTTACGATGGGAAGGGCACAACGAATTTAGGTTTCTCATTTTCTGAGGCATGGCCACAAGGCGAAAGGGCAGTCGGGAAAGGCAACGGGCTCGGAACCAGCCATGGAGGCACCTTCAGGGCTTTTGATCACATTCGCTGGAGCCTCTGATGTGGATCAGACCGTGGAGAAAGTTCTTCCAGGCGCGTCATTGCCAAGTTCGCTCACAGACCCAGGCTCCCGTGGTGCCCGACGTGCTCTGCCCTGACCCTGTGCCTTCTTCCGCCTGGAAAGTCCTTGTGGTTTGCACCCAACTGACCTTGTTTGCAAGGCCCGGATGGCTGTGTACCGAAGAGATTATTTGGAGGAGGGCTGACCCTGGTTATCTCATACTGGCCTGGAAGTAGGAAGTTGTCCTAAAGCATTTCTGAGAGCTCTTGGAGCTGCACGGTTACAATATTTTTAAGTCTGAAATCAAATCGTTTAATCGGAAGCATTAAAAGGTTTATTTTTACAGGCCCCAGGGAATAGCGGGGGGGGGCGCCCAGGCAAGGCTCTGATATCAGTTGAGACATGAGGCACAGGAGGGACCGAAACAGAAAGGGGGACCATGGGAGCTCAGGCCAGGGCGGCACGGGGACCTTCCTCTAGCTCTTGGCTGTCGCTCTGGTGTCCCGGGCAGTCCCCTCCTCCCAAAGCCACCTCGCCTCTCCTGGATCGGTGACTCTAAGCAAGGCACAGACCTCCCCAAATTAGCTGGCAACTGACCAAAAAGGATCTCACTGGTGGCAGCGAGGATGGTGTTTAATTTATACGAACATCTTCTGGAGAGTTCTCAAAAGGCATGAGAGAGGCCCAGGGTGAGCTCACGCAGCATGGCCCTTGGAGAGGGCACCTGGCCTTGCTCTTGGAGACCGAAGGTGAGAGCCAGCGAGGTAGGCAGGCTGCACGATCACTTGTTTCTCTGTCCCTAGTCTGTAATATTCACGGGTGAACAGAGAGCCTCCACATGTCCTTCCAGCTCTAAAGGTCTGTGAGTGGTGAGAAGCAGGGCCCCCACGGGCAAAAGAGCATCTTCAGGCTAACGTCACTAGGACATAGGAAGCCAAGGTCCACAGCACCTTCGTCTGAAATCCCGCTAGAGCTCCCACTTACCTAGTGCCCAGCCTGTGCCTGTTTTCCACTACTTTCAGAGGTTCTAGAAGTTCATGCACTGACCATCACTGACAGTGGGGGAAATCTCTCTGTCCAGGTTTTCCCTTGTCACAAGGACGTCAGTTACAGGAGATTAAGGGCCCACTCTAATGACCTCATTGTAACTTGACTGCATCTGTATAGACTCTAGTTCCAAATAAGGTCCCATTCTGAGGTACCGGAGTTAGGATGGCAACAAGGTTTCAGGGGCGAAATGCAGTGCATAACAGCCCACTCTCTGGCCCCCCAAATTCATGTCCTTCCCATGTGCCAAATACCTTCACCCAACGTCCCCCGAAGCACTAGTCTTTCCAGCATCGACTCGGAGTCCAAAAATCTCAGCCGTTCTCATCCACTCGAAGACCCAAATCTCACCCGTAGAATCAGAACCGCCGACTTCATCCCACAGCTTCTTCAGAAGCAACAATCTCACATTTTGCAACACAGCCCCCGGTGAGCTGCCCAACAGCTGCGCTGTTCCTTCCTGACATCTCCCTTCATTAGTCCCGGCAGCCGAGGGCCAACAGTTCCGAGAGACAGTTTCTCCGAGGACGTTCAAAGGCGGCCTCCGAGGACGTTCTTTAGGAGCCAACAAAGAGGGGAGCGAGCGTGTCAGAGCTTCCTGCCCCCCTTCCCGGGGCACCCGGAGCCAAGAGAGTGAGGCCTTGGGAGCTTTCTAGTGACGAATTCAAGGCAGTTCTTCAAACTTGGGATTTCAGAGTTAACTTATTTTTCATTCGTGATTATTATTTGTGTGTGTGTGCGATAGCTTTTTCTTTTGACCTACAGCTGTTTTCATTCCTGGGTCTGAAGAAGCCCCAGAGTCCTAACTCTATTCGGGACTCCGAAAGCTCTTAGAGCCGCAGGGCGCCTGGGTGGCTCAGTTGGTTAAGCGACTGCCTTCGGCTCGGGTCATGATCCCAGGGTCCTGGGATCGAGTCCCACTCCCTCAGACCCTCTCCCCTCTCATGCTGTTTCTCTCTCTCAAATAAATAAATAAATAAATAAAATCTTAAAAAAAAAAAAGCTCTTAGAGCAGCAATGCTGGGTGGTGGTGTGGACGCAGGATTCATCTCTCCTCTTCCCTGATTCCGCAGCAGCCCCGCTCTGTCATCCTCAGACCTCAGAGCAGGGGGGCTGAACAAGCGGAGGAAGGACCAGGGGCTCAGGAGGGTGCCCACCTAAGAGTGACTTCCCTGGAGGGTGGCCAGGCATTCAGTGTGTAGTCAGGCTCATGCCTACAGAGGGGACAGAGCTGAAGAGGGGCCAGGGAAGGGGAGAGGGAAAAGGGAGAGCTACAGCATGCCATGGTTCCCGGTGCCTCTGAAGAAGAGCTGGCTGGTCCGGCTTGTCAAACACGGCGCTCACTCTCCGGTCCTGGCTTCTGCTCCCAGTGCTACTGGGCTTTGCCAGGAGGGCAGGCCGCCACCTGGGACCCACCTGAGCCCACAGGAGGGCTGGGAGAGGTAAGATGCCACCCAGCACCGTCCCGAGCTGCTCCCAGCCACCAGCCGTGCCACGCGGTGCAAAAGGGACGCCAGAACAAAGGAAGGACACATGCCCACATTGCCAGTGGCCCTGGGCACTCAGCTCTTGCAGCGCATCGCACCTCCTCCTCAACGGAGGCTTTCAAAGCCTCTTTCTTCGCTCCTGGCTTTCACGTCTGTATGAATGTGAGCCAGATTTTATTCACCTCCGACAGACGATTCTGACTCATCCCGTGTTAGATTTTTATTAGCGCCGGAGATAGAGTAAGATAGAAATGCTGCAACCAGCATGACTATTTTCCTTCTATGTGACCTCAACAGTCTTACACCTTTTCTTAGTGTACAAAGCTGTCTCTTTCCATGAAGCTCATAACATGGTCTAATAGCATGTACACGCCTTCGTTAGATGCATGTGGAGATACAAACGTCTTTTTTTAACCTTACAAGGTGAAGTCAGGGAACACATCTAACTTGAGGAATACGTTTCTAAAATGTCAATCCAAGGAAAGCTTTTTCTGCCCACAGTTTGAAGCGTATGGGGTGAAATTTGTAAATTCTTTCACTCACTTGGTGAGGCAATAAGGAGTTCATCCGGGCTTACTACGTGCCGAGCACTGTGTCAGGTGTTCTAGCTAAAGGGACGCGCACCCTCTCCGAGAGCTTTCGAGGCTAGCTGGGGAGAGACATCAGGGACATAACCACACCGAGAAATGGAGGCCAGTGCTAGAAAGGAAAGAACAGGGTGCATGGAGACTGCATGGGGCTTGTGAGCTCAAGTCTGAAGAATAAGTAGGAGGTAACTGGAGTGGGGAGGGGAGGGAGATGAAGGGGGGGGGCTCTTCCCAGCAATGAGAATCACCTGTGCAAAGGCTCGGAGGCAGGGGCGGGGGACAAGGGCTCTCAGAGGAAAAAGGAGGCAGTGTGATTGAAGGGCAGAGAGGCAGGGGCAGAACAGGCATCAGTCAGTTGGAGGGTAGGGAGAGCCGGATGTGAGGACTCTGGACACCTTCTGAGGACTGAGAACCTGTTAGAAAACCGATGCCAGTTTCTAAGTAGACAAATGACAGGAACTGATATGTCTTTGAAAGGTCACTCTGGCTGCCTTTTGGCGAAGGGGCTGGTAAAAGGCAAGTGCAGGTGTGAACACACCAGATGGCGAGTGCAGGAAATCAGGTGAGGGTGCACGGGAACTTGGTGGGGGGTGTACACGTGACAATGGCCTTTAACAAGTTCCACAAATTGGTACCATCTGTAGCTTCATTACAGCGCTGGAAGGGGTAGGTGGGTGTGTCCCGGAGGTTACAGAAATTACATGAGAAAGGGAAATCATTTTAGATCTTTTTTTTAAACTGGAGGAACCGGCACCTTATTGATAGAATTCCAGAGTGGGAATGGATGCACATGAGGACCTCTTTGAGATGTCTGAATTTTTTCTTCGACATCTTTCCAAGTGACAAGGAGACCTCGACCTTAGGAGGCCTCGCCCCTCTTTGTAGCCAGAAAGATTTTACCTACAGATTTGGGTTCTTCCTCTTAAATTTAGTCAAGGAGACAGATTCCTTCCGAAGGACACCCTCCTATCATTCTATCCTCTGTTCACGCCTCACGTGCCGGGATTTCCAAGACCTTTTGTTCCAGGTTGTGAGTATCCATTTTGGCAGGGCCGGGCTGACCAAGAACACCATCGTGGGAAATCTAGATCCTGTAGTGCTGTTACATAAGGTCATCTAAGACTGTATTAGCCGCCCTGGTGGTCTCGTCACACTATGACTCACTGAAACTTTTTACACATTGTATCACTATTAAGCTGTAGTTTCTGAGCCTTGCCTTCTCTGGTGCCATTAATTTTTAGGGGCCCAAGCGGACTTTACAGTGGCCCTCATTCAAAGGATCTCTGTATCCCCAAGATCTTTCTGAATGCCTTTCACCATGATCCTTGAGTGAGATCTGAGATCACTGTTGGTAAAAATCAGGCCCAATACTTCTTGGCACTTCATCCATTAGGTTCTTGGAAGAGGAGGTAGATGTGGAGGTGAGTGGGGATCAGAGCGGGAGGATTTCTCTCTTCACTTCCCTTTCTGTTTTCCCAAATAATGGGTATGGGGGGGGAAGGATATCCAATTTATTTATTTTCCATCTCCCGTTTGAAGAATTTAGATCTTTCTTTAGAGTCTCCAGGAAACTCTCCCAAACCCAGCATACCACGATGCCAATTCAGCTGTCTTCTGACTCACCTCCAGATACCGTCTCCTCCTAATTGCTCAAGCCACAGATTAATGGTGGAATGTTCAAGCCCTGCTCAAGCCCAAGCAATAAAATAGGAAACACGTTTATCTAAGCAGTTACATGCAGTTCTATACGGGTATATATGGTTCTCTGCCTAGCCTTTCCAACCTCAGCAAACCAAGAAAAAGCCCCAGTGTGCTCTGGGGAATACATCATTCATTCATTCCTGTGTTCAACAGTCGTGGCGGATCCCGGCCAAGATCGTGGAAGAGCAAGGACAGAGAAATCCTGGGAGGTGAAGTCTGAGGAGGATTTCAAATTCAAGTAAGAGATGAAAGAAAAATCTAGACTCCGTCCTCAGGTACACACACTTTTAAATTAAGGCTAGAACTAGAGACCACTCTAATTAAAGGCCTCAACAGGTGGGATCCCGCAGGTGGGATCCGGCTCTCGCTTTCGTGTATACTAATTTACGAAATAGCTCTGAGGGTCAATATACGGAACAAAACCATTTAATAAAGTGAAAAGGAGAGAAAAGGAGACCTGGGAAGGCAGGTGAGTGGGGAGGAAGGAAGGGCCAGGGAGGAAAAAAATGATCACTCCTTGCGCTCTGGGCTGCCAGAGAGGTTGAGGGACTTGTTTCAACCTGGGATGCCGAGTCCAGAACAAAAGCGACGGGGCCACAGCGTGGGAAGAGGGAAGGAGCGTCCTCGGCACGCGCGGGGGTGCCGAAGGACGGGGGCCAGAGCGCCCGCTTGCGGGGTGGGGCGGGGGGGGACCTCGCGCCGCGTACTCGCGGCCCCGGCGCCGCCGCCGTTCCCGGCCCGACCCGGCGCGAACCCGGGTGAGGCGCAGCGTCCGGGAGTCGTCCCGGGGGTCGTCCCGGGGCTCGCGGGAGGCTGGGCCCCGACAGCCCCGCCAGCTCGCGGCCCGCGGTTCCCGCTCCGGGGGAGGGCGCGGCGCGGTGTCACTTTACCTGCGCGCAGAGGGTCGTCCGGAGAAGCCATGGGGCGGGGTGGGGCAGACGGGCGCCCGAGCGGGGCTGCGCGGCCTCGGGATCGGGGCTGGAGAGCGGGAGGCCAGGGAGGGCAGCTCCGGCGGCTCCTGCAGTTGCGACGCGCCCCTCCTCCTCCAGCACCTCCACCTCCTCCCAGACTCTCCGCCGCGTCCTCGTGCTCACTTCCTGCTTCGGCAATTAGCAAAGCCCCTTCTCCGCGCCGCCGCCTCCCTCCCTCCCTCCCTCCCTCCGGAGGCGCGGGCCGGGGTGCGGGGAGGGGGGGCCCCCGAGGGCCCCTAGCGTCGCCGGCAGCGGGCGTCCTTCCTGCCCCGCGCCCAGGCTCCGCGAGCTGGTGTGGCCGCGCGGCCCACGCGAGTGCTGTCCCGGACTGGCTGCGAGGAAAGGATCAGCCCTAAAACCTGGCGGCAGTCTGGTGTCGCTTTGGGGGCTCCCTAATCGCGCCCGAGGCCCGGACGCAGCTCTCGCAACGCGGCCTGGACTGGGATGCGTGCCCGTGATCTGCTATTTAAACCGTCTCCTCGTCTTCAGGCAGGGTGGCACACGCGAGTAGCTTCGATCTGGATTTTTGTCATTGGTTATTACATGACCTCCAGGGTAGGTGCTGCACAAAGGGAGTGAAAAGATACACACCCGTACGGCCATTCTAGAAAAATAGCTCGGGGTTCTCTCGGAAATGCGGCATTGGTCCTTAAAAGCAAAGCACTACGGTTTAATTGAAAAGGGATTATGCACCGGTACTTAAGTGAGCACAGATTGGGATCGTTTACCAAGAATATATTTAAAACAGGTCTGTTTTAACTAAACCTATCATCAATCATAAATCTATTACACAAAGGTTACAGGCAATTTAAATTGAATAGCAGTGTCTTAAGGATTTTAAATAATCCATGTCCGCCTTGGCACACGAGAATGGAAAGATGGGAAATGGTTTGTAAGAGATAATATAGCTTTTAGTATACGGTAGCAGCAATTTATCGTAAAGGAGCGGCCTGCAGCTAAATACTCAGCTTTGAAAAATGCAGAAAAGCAGCAAATGTCTACATAACCTCTTGGTCACCAGAGGCTTGCTTTGTGCCTTTCATCATGTTTCATAGTCCTGAGGCCCATAGCGCTCTCTAGTTTATGTCTTATTCTCTGGAATAGGCCATGGAAGAAACACCAGGCTCAAAGAAGAGGGTACAACCTTAAATGGAGCTTTCGGGGGAATTTGTTAGTGGGAGGATAAACTTCCCTTTGGTCTGCTTCTGATAGGAAGGGAAAATTTTTTTAAGAGTATTTTCTCTTTAAATCTATTCTGAGGTTTGGTTTGTGGTTCTTCTGACTTCTCATGAAGATGGAATTATTTCTGAAGTTGGTTGTCAGGAACCGCATATCAAATTGAGCTATCTTGTTAGCAATAGAAGTTCAGGGGTTGCTATAAAGCTGTTTTGCTTTTCAAAACCCTGAACTATAATTCATGTATCATGGCCATTCTTTATTACATCAAACAGGAGAGAGGTGGCAGAAATGCACTTTCGGGTTAATTTTTTTACAAGGAAGGGTGACTATGGACCTAGGTTATTATTCCTAGTCCCTTTCATTCAGTTTCCCTGAACCTCCTTTTCTATGAATTGCAACCATAACCCATCATTATCTTTATTGTTGCCACGTGCTTTGTGTACACTACAAATGGGAGGGTTTTTTTTTTTTTTGCAGTTTACAAAAAACTAATTTAAACACACTCATCCACCAGAGTTCCCAAAGGGTTCCCATTTAAACTATTTCCTGTTACATTATGTCATTCTGCTTTTGCTTCTATTGCTGTCTAAATAGTGTTTTAAAACACTCTTTAAAATGGGCATTTTTTAGAAGATTTTGTTTTAAAGATTTTATTTATTCATTTGTCAAAGAGCACAAGCAGGGGGAGTGGCAGGCAGAGTGGGAAGCAGACTCCCAACTGAGCAGGGAGCCCGATGCAGGACTCAATTCCAAGACCCTGGAATCATGACCTGACCCGAAGGTAGACCATTAACCGACTGAGCCACACAGGCGTCCCTAAAGTGGGCATTTTTGACATTTCCTGATAGCACCTACATACTCATGAATCTCAGAATCATGATAAATGGAGATAGTGGGCTTGGTAATCATGGAGTCAAGCATGCTGGATTTGACTCATGGGCCTGTCACTGTGCGTTTGGGTTGCTTGCTAAACTTGCTTCATATAAACCCAAATGTGTAAGAATTTGCAGGATTGTGACAGTTCAGTGGAATAATGTGTCTATAAAAATACCTAAACCAGTGTCTCTCACATAGTAGGTACAAATATACCAGTTCCCTTCCTGCCTTCATTCTGTCCTTGGAATTTCTTCCATTGGGAGAAGTTCCTACTGCCTTTGTTACAAGAAATGAACTGATATTTATTACAGCGTTGGTGCATAGCATGGATCGATGCATTGAGTGATAGCATTAACATACTTTTTGAACGGCCTATTGCCCCCCCCAAGCACCAAACAAAATGTCAAGCCCTGGGAAACCAAAGTGAGAAGTCCCCAACTTTTAGGAGTTTAGGTACAGGAGAGATTTGCAAAAACTGTTTCACTGTAGAACCAGGGTAACGAATGGTTAAACCAGGAAGGGAGTGTGTGTGGGAGAAAGGCACTGATGATGTATGAAGCCATTTGGCTGGGTGTTGTCTACCCTCAAAATGACAATGTGCCATGAAAGCTTCCAGGCAAATTTGTGACAATATGGCTACAGCCTTAAGTGGGGCGGGGGGGGGGAACAACCACACAAAAAAACTGTTGGTCTTGTGTCTTTTCACAGATAATGAGTTATCAAAAATGTTATCTTTAAATGGGGAAAACAGGAACTCAAAATGTATTTCATTTGATTCATCACAGAATATGTTGTTTTTGTTCATTTTACACCGTCTTCATTAAGTGTTATTTAAATTTATGCAATCTGAGATAAAATGTTATATTCTTGAGGGTATGTGCATTGTATATAAATGAGCCCAGCAAATTGGGCTCCTGGACAGGGTCTGATCTATATAAAAGTGGCTAGAGCTGTAAGGATAGTGCATGGATTGGGGTCTATCGGAGGCTCCTTTTGTTCCAGAATGAAACAATTCCTCCCTCGGTTGCATTTGCTTGATACAGCCTTGTGGAATTGCATGTGGTGGAAGAGGCCTAAATGGGAGTTAATACGTTCGCTTGTCTCCTTAAATTGTGTCCAGAGTGTGTTTAAGGCAGTTGTAGGGGACCTTGGTGGTTTTGCCATCTGACTTCTCATAATAATGCCCCAGTTTTCTTCCGGAGAATCACCGTTCCCACTTTCAGTCCATGTGGTTAGGCAGTGGCAACTTCACCCTGACTCCTGACTCCAGCAGTTGGCATGTGACCCAGTAATGGCCTTTCAGAACATCACTGGGTGAGTCCGTGAGTCTAGGAGACGCTCGAGACCTTTGCTGGGTCAGTGGGGAGATGGGTCTCTAAATAACTAGCCGACTTGTGCATGGTGGAAGAAGTGAGCAGAGCGACACGTTTGCCAGGGTGCACATCACAGAGAGCCTTGAATGCCAGACGAAAGCATTTGAGACTATTTTTTCAGGCAACAGGAAGCCAGGAAGCTAGTTTTGAAAAGCAGCGTATGAAAATTGGTGTTTTGGGAGGATTAGTCGGGCAGCTGTGTGTAGGGTAGGGTGGAGGAAGGAGAGAACGCAATCCTTGAGTGCATTTAATCTTTACAATGCACTGTAATTTATTACAGAGTTGAATTTGCATCCTTATCCAAACGAGAGGGAAACTCATGTTGGAAAATTGTAAATGTTCTTTTGTTGCCTTTTGAAGCATTCATTGTCTCACACGAAGTGATTGCTTTACAAATTTGCAGATGTGTGTTAAAATGATGTATTCCAAAATGGTAACAGAGGGACTAAAAAACTTATGTAAGTAAAATATTATCATTTTTGCTGATTTGAAGCCTATTTGACAAGGGGCATAGCATTCTGGCGCATATATTTAAACATGAATAATTCTTAAAGCTTCCTCTACTCACTTATATAAAAGCCCTTTTTCATATAGAAGATTAAATCTCTCTTGCCTACTCCTACCAGCTTACTTTGAATTATTTACCATCCAGAAGCATGAGCTAGAAAACCACAGTTTTTGTGCTGTTTAGTTTTCCACAAAGAGAATTGCACAGTGTGGGTGATTCTCAGTATGGTGTGTTGCTAAAAACATTTCGAATGGATAGGAAGGGGGAGGTGTAGAGAGGTAAGGAGACGGGAAAAAAGGTATGGCTCTCTAATGAGCACTTTATTCTAGAATCTTCCTCCAGCCTCGGGATCTCACCACGCACAAGTGTGTGCTGGTGCCTTGATCTTATGGGCCATCATGCTCAGCATCTTCTAGCTGCTTTCTTAGTGAATATATACGTAACAATTTATTTCTTGCTCTAGATTTTGAAAGAAAAATCTGTTCAGAGGGATGAACTTTATATATTAAAACCTGAAACCCAACTAACTAAAGTCAGCTAGAAGAGATTTTGTTGTTTCTGCTGTTAGAAGAGGACAGATGAGAAGAAAACCTGGTGTTATCAGTGACCAGCTAAAACTTGTATAGTAAGCACCCCAGAGCTTAGTTTCCTGTGTTGTGTACTCCCAGAACGTGGAACACAGGCTCAAGTCGGTGCTTGGAAATCTACAAAATCATCCATCGTTAAATAAATTATTTTAACAACTTGTCATTTATAATTTATTCTGAGCTAAGACAAGAAGGTAGGCTTAGATCTAAGTGAGTCAACTGAGAAACTATTAGAACGTAAGTGAGTTTAACTTGCAGGAGAGATAAAGCTCAACATATGGGATCCCGACAGCTTTCTTACAGACCAACAATAACCAACGGTGGGGTTGTGGGGAATGATCCCATTTACAGTAGCAAATAAAGCTATAAAGTTACTGGGGATAAATTCAATAAAATTATTTAAAAATTGCAAGAACTGAGGCGCCTTGGGTGGTGCAGTTGGTAAGTGCCTGACTCTTGGTTTTTGGCTCCAGTTGTGATCTTGGAGTCGTGAGACTGAGCCCTGCATGGGGCTCTGC